ATTGTCACTATACATCACTATAATATATTATTTAAGTCTGTTCCTATATTGATGCCTACAATGTTTGGAAAGGAAAAAGAAATAGTGTAAATTTATGCAATTGTAAAAATGCACATACTATTAATAACTCTGCTTATTACAGGACATGGAGAAAATCTGTGTGATTGCTAAGAGTCAACAAGACTTGATGGCATGTAATCAGTTAATCAATTATAGGACCCATGGATAATTTGCTCTGATATAAACTTATAATGTGGGCCCTCTCCTACACACATAAGCCACAATTATTTCATCCTGTGCATATTATCCCATCGGCGATTACATCAAATGTGTCTGTTTTAATCACAAAATTAATAAAGTTGTAAATAGTGGCTTTTGATATTTGCTTTGCAACACGCCAGCTTTCTCTTTTTTAAAATTAAACTTTTCAAAAATTAAAATCAGATAATGCAGGAAGCCTGGTGGATGCCAAAAGTAATGCACTATGCCAGTGATGGCGAACCTTTTAGAGACCGAGTGCCCAAACCACAACCCAAAACCCACTTATTTATCACAAAGTGCCAGGGCCACATCAGCATTGTGGTGCCCTGGGGGGGCACTGGGTGGGCATGGCTCCAGTTGTCACGGCAGACTGGGTGGGCATGGCTAGGGTGAGCATGGCCACCTCAATGTTGCTCATGGGGGAAATGCCTATGGGGGCCGGGCAGGGTTGGGGGAGATCCAGGGGGTCTCTGGCAGGTGGGGCAGTGGGCAGGAGGCCCAGCATAGATGGGAGAAGGCATGCAATCCTAGCTGGGACTGGGGGGCCATGGCGCTGATAGGGATCCGGCTTTTCCTGCTCGGGGTGGCCTTTGGCTTGCTGGGTGTGGGCATGCTCTATCACCTCTAGTCGAGCTTGCTAGCTGGCTGCTTTGCCTCCTTTGTGCTGGGTGGGGCTGCCGCTCTGGGTGGCGGCGGCCTAATGGACCTGCATAAGCTGCTGGCAATGGCAGCGTGCGTGCCCCATAGGTTCGCCACCACTGCACTATGCCAAATATTAGTTGTGCTCTGTCTTAATAACTACAGTATAACAATGTTTATGCTTTTTAAAACTAACACAATTCTACCATTGCACTGTCACCATTTCCCCAACTAGGAGTTTAGCCTCACTCCCAAACAGCCCCAAAAGCCCATGATTTTCTTAAGCCAGTTTATAGTCAAGCCATCACAAGCTTAAATCAAGAACAGCTTAAATTATGATGGTAGTTATTTAGTATTAGGCCATGTATTTTTGTTCTTGGCTTACAGATGGATGAAATCTGATCGGTCTGGGCTGGATCTATATTTAAAAAAAAGGAAGTTGTTGATTCCCAAACATGACTGATTCTCAGGAGCCTGAGATGCAGATACAGGTAATCCTTGCTGCCTTGTTTAGTGACCATTTCAAGTTACAATGGCACTGGAAAAGTAACCTTATGACTTGTCCTCATATTTATGGCTGTTGTAGAGTCAGTCAAGATTCAGGTGCTTTACATGTAGCAGGCGTTTACAAAGTCATCTTGCAGTGAGATGGGCAGCAAACAAATTTAATAAATAAATAAACAAACAAACAAACAATGCAGGGCCCTGAAGTCATGTGATCACCATTAGCACACTTCACAGCCAGCTTCTAGCAAGCAGAGTCAATGAAGAAGCCATCAGTAAAATCACAATGTGGTGTCTCACTTAACAACTGCATTGCTTAACATCAGAGTTCCTGGTCCCAATTATGATTGTTAAGGACCAGCTAAATTGAGCTGAGCAATCCCCGATCTATCTTTCTACTGCTTTCCTTGTGGTTAGAAAACCAGAAATAATTAATAATTACTACTTTACAGAAGTAAAATAGCATTCTAGCTGAAAGAGTCAGCCCAAATCAATGGTAAGCAATCAACTGATTCCTAATTCGAAAAATGATTTTCCCAGAAAGGTTTACTTTGCAAAATCAAGGCATAGCATATGGGAGCATATTTTGCACTGAGATTTTGCACTTATCACACTTTTTTAGACTAATTAGTACTACTATTTTTCAGACTAATTTTGCTAAATGCAAAATCTGATCATGCATCTCATTGGCAATTTACATTTAAATATATAGAAATTAGCTGTCCTAGTTGGCTGTTATAAAGGGGCACAGACCTTTTAATCAAATTAATAGCCATGTTCTTTTGTACTATGCTGATAGTTTATTTAATTAACTACTTAGGGTCATAAATTTCTAATGAGGTTTTCAGACCAGCAAATAAGCAATAGTATTCATTATCTTCCTATTAAGTCCTTTACAAATAATATTTAACCATGTGAAAATTATGTTGTGCAGCTATTCTTTTATTAAGCATTAAAATCCCTGCTACTTGTACATGAAAATGCTCAGTACTAAAATCTGTGCTAACGATTTGTGCTCCCTGTGAAATTCATATATTACTTATTTTAATTTTTGAAAAATAAATCTAGGCCTTGATCTTTGGCAATCATGAAAAATAATTCTGTAATGGCAGAATTAGAACACTAAGATCCTTCTCCTTTCCCCCCTTTCTCCTTCTCTTCCTCTTCTCTTTTTCAGTCATCACCTGTTAAGCCATGATTTATGGAGAAAGTTCCAAGTGGCTGAAATTATTTACAAACAATTATAGCTTGGACGACACATTGTCCTTAACCCAAAGCAAACAGATTACATTTTGGCTTAGTACAGTATAATATGTGAACTCAGCATTCGCTTTTATGAAGATGTATCATTTTAAAAGAGGGCTTCCTGAAACATAGTGTGGATGGATTGGCACATCACACACAAATATGGTTTGCTTGCTTAGCATTTTGCATGAATCTAGCCACTGCAGCTTGTCATACAGTAGTAAAACAGGTTAGGGCTACCATATCTGAATTTCATAAATCCAGGTGGCCACAAGATGGCACCATTTTCTCTGCTTCTAGTGCCATGTGTCCATTCTACAGAGTTTTGCATTTAACATTATATATAGCAGTTCTGTTAACGAAGTCTTAGCCATAAGCTCTCAGAAAAATCTAACCGTTTTCTACAATGAATTTTTCAACGGAATTTATTTTGCAAAGCCTAGTAAAGACAAGATAAATCTCCATTCAGAGTGAAAAATAATTTGTGGTGTAGACATTTCTACTTAAAAATATTCAGTATGTCTAGTCGCACACAAGTTCAGACAATATTATGTCTGAAATTAAAAGATGCTGTTTTCTTTCTATGAAATTCTGCGGTGTTGCCCAGTTCAGAACTGCTGGACAGTGTTGATGGCAATACTTTTTAAATTACAGTAGCCCTCATGATTGTAACTTGTAATTGCAAACATCTTCTGTAAGATTGTTTTTAGGAAAAGCTTGACCCACAATTGATTGACATGGGTTGTAATGATAATGTCTTTACTCATCCAGACAATAATTAGATCACAGAAAGTTCCTCCAAATTTGAAACCAGAATAGGTAAGGACTTTTGAAACAACTAACATTTCCTTGGGGTGACTGAAAATGTTTCATCTTGGATTCTTTCATTGAAAGAAAAAGAGGATTATTGCTTAAACCCTGTCACCTTGAAGGATCTTCTATCATACAGTTCCACAATTTCTTCATAAGTCAAACCTCCTTTGAGTTCTGAGTCCAGTTCTGGGCCCCAGAACAAACTAGAATAGATACAAGTTAGAACAATGAAGATGATCAGGAGTCTGATCATGATATTATAAGTGACTGAGGGAGCTAGAGATGTTTAGGAAATAAATGACACAGTTGAACAGGAGTATTATCACACTTTTGAGACTGGACAAAGATGAAGGCATCTGTTGTGAATGAGTGAATCTGAACTTCTGTAAATGGTTGGATTCAATGATTAAATTTGAGAAACATTCAAGTTACTACATTTATGAAGTAGATTCCATATTCTGTAAAACAAGTTCAATTATCATTAGCATCTTTTCAGATCCATTCAAAAGCAATCAGCAGAGTAATGAACAATCTGACTCAGTGGTGGGATTCAGCTGGTTCACACCACTTCGACAGAGCCAGTAGCTAATTTTGTGTTGCCCAGGCCCAGAATGGACTTCCAGAAGCGGCATCCACACAGAGAACGGGTTGTTCACATATTTGAATCCCACCACTGAATCTGATCCTATACACATACACATCTCCTATCCTTGTGTCATAACATTCATTTGCCTCCTGTACTGAACTGCTGACCATGAACTGCTGACCATGGGATAACCATAACCTTTTATGTGTCAGTAATTATTAATGATCCATAAGAAAACCTGACATCTTATTCAAGGATTGCTTTACTCAAGAACCTTTACTGAGGAACTTTGAAGCATTTCGAATAAATTCATTTTTAAATCTGGTGTGTGTGTGTGTGTGTGTGTGTGTGTAGGATCAGACTGTTCATTACTGATTGCTTTTGAAAGAACCTGAAAAGATGCTGATGAAAATGGCTCTTGTTTTCATAAACTTATATAATTGTGTTTTACTATATTTCTTAAGTCAAATGTTACCATTAGTTACTGTTATGTTCACTTTGATGTTTTGGGGTATATTTCAGTGGTGGGATTCAAATATGTGAACAACCGGTTCTCTGTGTGGATGCCACTTCCAGAAGTCCATTCTGGGCCTGGGCAACAAAAAATTAGCTACCAGTTCTGCCAAAGTGGTGCGAACCGGCTGAATCCCACCACTGGTATATCTAATACTGTGTGAGGATATTTAGAAAGGATTTTCTACACCAGTACTTTAGAATTGTGGGAATTCCACGCCTTCAGGGGAATTTGTTCAATTTATCTATTACTGTGGTTTAATTGGCTCCTCCCACCCCACCCCACCCCAGTTTTATTCCTCTTGATTTTTTTTCTCTGTGTTTCTTCTTACCAGCCTCATGCTTACTCTTCTTTCTGTCCCTTTCTCTTTACCTGGATATACCACAGGCACTTTTTTTTTCTCTTTTGTTTTTTTTTTAAGAGTTTGGGTACACTTTAAAGCAAATCTACAGTGCAATGTTCTATGTTTCCTTTTTTTTTTAAGGGATCAAGACAATATGATAAGGGTGAAGAATATTGTAGCTCTATTTATATATCTGTGGGGGGGAGGGGGCTCCAAGATTAAGAATCCTAAACTTTGGCTAATAATGTTGCCCTGATGACATCACTGTTTCCAAGCAATTACAAATGAAACAAAAACAAAAACATTTCAAGTAAGGCCATACAGAGAAATCTGGTAGGCATAAGCATTTACCATTCAACACTTTAATCTTAATCATTCCCATGTATATCACTTATTCTTGAAAACAGTTTTGATTTATAATTTTAATCACTGCCATCAAATGTAAAAATATACTGTGTAAAAGTGCAATATGTGCAGCCACATCTAACTTTCAACTTTGGTGAAGAAGGGCATCAGAAAAAAACATAAGTTAAGGTTAATCTTAACCAAAGGACCAAGAAAGAATAAAGAACAAAGCAGCTGAATACAAGACAATTCTAACCTAATACTTACATTTGGCGTTCAAAATATACCCTGTTCCACTACATAAATCAACATGTATGCAATGTATCCAAATACTCATTTTGAATGAAGATAGAAGATAGAACTACTTATTTCTCATTTGACTTCCTCAGGAAAAAAAATAAAGAAAACTGTCATGATCCTGTCATGATCACAGGATTATATGGGATGAGCTGGATCCAGTCTTGGAATGGGAATGAGAAGGCCGCCATGTTACATGTTTCTTTGTATTGGTTCAAAGAAATGGTGTTTGTGTTCCATTTGTAGCTCAATGTTTTCTGAGATACCCACAGGATTATTGTCTGCCAAAGTAAAATGGGTAATTAGTCGTGAGGCCTTGTGGGATGAGAGGCTTGACTTCTTTCTCTGATAAAAATAGTTCCCAATATGGAGTCGTAATTTCTCATGGAGGGAAGCATAAATGAAAGGATTGAAACAGGCTGAACTCATGGCAGCCACATGACATGAAACTTGGATGACATTCACATATCGCTTGTTTAGGATAGCAAACTCTTCATCCATATCTCTAATCAAATTAACCACCTGGAGGGGGAGCCAACAAAGACCAAAACACAGGATCGAAACCACCAGGATCTGGAAGGTCTTTTCTTTTTTTGTCGTCCACTTTTCTTGGTTCTGACATACAGCTCCGGGGATCTTTCTCTTCTGGAGATGATAAGAAATGGCACAATAAGAGAACAACACAGCAGAAAGTGGAAGCATGTAAGAGAGGAGGAGCATCAGGCAAGAGTACAGCTGTCTCTCTGTCTTCCGGTGCAACCAGATTTCTTCACAGATAATCATGTCATGGCCAATACTGTTGAGATCTAGGTAGTGGGTATGTAAATAGGTCGGTAGAGAAACCAAAAGAGATAAGAGCCAAATAGCAGCCACAATATAGATACAGGACTTGCATCTTACCCTTTGGCGAATGGGATGCACAATTACAATATATCGATCAACGGCAATGGCTGTAAGTGACAGGACAGACACAAACACAGTAGTCCCTTGCATCAGGGTGACAAAGTAGCACATGAACACTCCAAAAAGCCAGCCTCGGCTTTCAAAGGCATACACGGCGGTCAGTGGAACACAAAAAATGCACATAATCAGATCGGCAGCTGCCAAGTTCCCAATAAGAAAATCTGTGGTGCTCTGCAGCTTTTTAGTGAAGCTGATGAGACAGAGGAGGAGAAGATTCCCTGTGCAGGCCACGGTCACCAAGAGAGCATAGAGAGGAATGAAAAGTGGCTTCAGCTCAAAGAGGAGATCCAGGCCAGTGAATAAGAGATCTGAGCTATTAGAACAGGAGTCATTCAAGGGCTGGGAATGGACCGCCATGTCAGAATCTGATCTCGAGGATCTTTTACATTAAAAAGAAAAGGGGGAAATTTCTTTTAAAAAGAAAATAGAAAGAGAAATTGGCATTTCTTGTGGAAATGCCTGACTCTATTTATTCAGTAGGTCACCAAGACATGGGGAAGCGTAGAAGGGAAACAGTGCACCTAGAGGGTGCAAAATAATTTCTCATCTGTTTTCAAGATGTCGCAGCTCTCGGTCTTCATCTTCTAGCACTCTTAGGAACACTTTAAAATTCATTGCTTGTAACTTCTTGACATCTCACATTTCATTAGACTTCCTCTGAGGGTATTCTTTCTCTCAGAAGGATTTTCCAAGGCTTCTGAAATACTTTTATTTGCAGCTATAAACAGGCCCTTTTCCCCCAGTCTCTCCCTCTGGATTCCTTCTGCTTTTTGCCTTTCTCTCTGATTAATCCTGGATGGCAAATCAATCTGAGCTTGACAATTAGACTGGGCAATTCTTATGTCAAACTTTACTTAAAATTCACTTGTTGCATGAAGTTATGGGTTTCACTGCATCTTCACTTACGTTTGTTCATACTGACCTGCATAAACATAAATAAATGGCAATAGGGAATAATTCCAAAAACGTTATCTTAAAGGATTTGATAAGAACAACACTGCATTTTAAAGGTTCATTTTCCTAAAATGCTAGCTTCCACATTCAGTTAATGTTAATTACTACTTCATTAATTCCTCAGTTAGGTGTGTATACCTATTGTCTATATCTATCATCTATAACATATACATCTCTAGCTCTATATCTATATATATATCATCTATAACATCTATCTACATCTATATATCTAATCTATCTGTATATATAAAAGTAAAGATAAAGGTTTCCCCTGTCCAGTCATATCCAAACTCTAGGAGGCAGTACTCGTCTCTGTTTCTTAGCTGAGGGAGCCAGCATTGTCAGAAGATATTTCCTTGGTCATGCGGTGATCATGATTATATGCTGAGGCACACTGAATGCTGTTACCTTCTCACCAAAGTGGTATCAATTTATTTTACTTGCCTTTACATGCTTTTGAACTGCTAGGAGCTGGGGATAAGAATAGAATAGAATAGAATAGAATAGAATAGAATAGAATAGAATAGAATAGAATAGAATAGAATAGAATAGGAATTCTTTATTGGCCAAGTGCGGTTGGACACACACTCAGTATACAAGCAATAGTGATAAATCATGATCATAATCAACATAAAAATACATTCATCATAAATTATAAAATACAACACATTCATCATAAATCATAAGATGCAACGCTTAGTGATAGTCATAGGATACTAGCTAAGCAAACAACATAAATCATACTAGGATATTAAATAAAACAATATAAATTGTAAGATACAAGCAACAAAGTTATAGTCATAAGAAGATAAGGATAGGTAATAGGAAAGATGAGGAGAATAATAGTAATACAGCTTTACTAAGTAGTTTGACAGTGTTGTAGGAATTAGTTGTTTAGCAGAGTGATGGCATGGGGGGGAAAATGGAACCTCACCCCATCGCACAAAGCTCAGGCCTTGAACCCAGGCTCTCAGCTTCTTTAACCACTGAGCCATAGAAGATGGCTTGATAGAAGATAGATAGATAGATAGATAGATAGATAGATAGATAGATAGATAGATAGATAGATAGATAGATAGATAGATAGATAGATATTACTTCTATTGCATGTGTCCCATTGACCAAAACTCTTATTTGCATTAATTGCATATTTCTTTTTTTGTATAAATTGTATTAATTTTTATAGGGTTAGGAATGAGGTAGGATCAGGATTGGGGTTGGGATTTGGGTTAGGATTAGGGTTGGGGTTGGGGTTTTTCCAAATAACATTCTCAATATTTAGCAAATAGTATAATGTCTGGGTTCATGTGTTTAACAAAAAATAATAGATAATAGTTAATTATCATAAACAATATGTTAATTAATCACTCAATTGTCTTCTTGCTAATATATATTCAAAGTTACATATCACATTCTTTTCTCTCTAACTCTCTAGCCATTGATAGAAATTATCCCATGTTCTTCTTCTTCTCTTTTATCTTTAAAGTCAATCTATCCATTTCTGCACATTCTAAAATTTTCTTAATTAATACTTGGTATACAGTTGGTAACTTTTCATTTTTCCAATGTTGGGCAAATACAATTCTTGCTGCAGTTAGTACGTGTAGAATTAATTATATACAATCTTTCTCATAATTTGCTGCTATTATTCCTAACAAAAATAATTCTGGCTTAAAGTCTATTTGTTTTTTAGTCATTTTCTCCAACCATAAATATATTTTTACCCAAAATCTTTTTGCTTTAGGGCATGTCCACCAGATATGATATTAAGTACCTGGTCTTTGTTTGCATTTCCAACACTTGTTTGAAGTATTTTTAAACATTTTTGCTAATCTCACTGGTGTCATATGCCATCTGTAAAACATTTTATATAAGTTTTCTTTATATGCCACTGCTTTAGTTAATTTAACATTTCTTTCCCATAACTTTTGCCAGTCTTCTAATTCTATATTATATCCAAAGTTCTTTGCCCATATTATCATCGTTTCTTTAACTTGTTCTTCCTCCATCTTTAAGTTTAACAGAAATTTATAGAGTTTCTTAATCAACTTTTCATCTGTTTTTAACAGTATCTGATCAAATTCTGTCTGTTCTTTATAGAATCCCATTGTTTTAGCATTTTTTTCATATCTCGTTTGAATTTGCAGATATGGCCACCATGATAATCAATACCTTGTTCTTGTAAATCTTGTCTGTCTTTCAATTTTCCTTCATTGTCCAAAATATCTTTATAAGTCACAGCTTTGTTATAATTAATTAAATTTGGGTAAGCGAAAGCTTCCATTGTTGAAAGCCATCCAGGTATCTTAATATAAATTTTTGCTTTTATTTTTTCCCATTCTGAAAGAAATGCATTTCTTATAAAGTGGTTTTGAAAGTATCTATGTATTTTATTCTTCCCATACCACAGAAAGGTATGTATTTTATTCTTCTCATACCAACCAATTTGTAGGTCATGCCCCTCTAGGTATAATAGTCTTTTGTCTCTAAGCGTTATCCATTCTTTACGTCATGTTAAAATAGTAGTATAGTATAACTTGGTAGTATAATGTCCAGTCCGGCAGTCCAAATCCTCCACTTTCTTTCACTTCTTGTAGCATTTTCAGTCTAATTCTAGCTTTTTGCCCTTGCCAGATAAATTTCAGTATTGTTGTATTCCAGTTCATCAAAAAAGGCTTTTCCCAGCCTTACAGGAATCGTTTGAAATAAAAAGAGTATTTTTGGTAAGATATTCATTTTCACTGTTGCTATTCTCCCCAGCATTTGAGAGTTGTAAGTTTTTCCACTTTTCCAGATCCAATTTTATTTCTTTTAGTAGCCTTGCATTAATTGCATATTTCTGATCCATTCTATGATTTAGCTACACATACAGCCGTAAGTCCGGTGGAGGGAAAGATGTACCATTAGAAGTTTTTCTAATGTCAAACTGAAAACTGTTTCCTTACAATCTGCATTCATTTAGCTATCATCATGATTCATTAATGCAACAGAAAACAAGTTTGTTCCTTCTTCTAATTCCCACTTATTTCCCTGGGATTTAATCTGCAATTGTCTGTCCACAGGAATTAATAAGATGACTCAGATCTCAGTATGTTGTCTGGGAGTAGTAGGAAGCTTTACACATGATGGTAAGAGGCTTTTCTAAAACCTGAATCAAATTATGTTCTGATTAACATCTAGTTTGGAAGGTGAAAAATAGATAGCAGAATATGTTTTTCTCAAGTTAATGGAAGAATTAACTCTGGAAGAATTTATTAAGTAGTTCCTGTTTTAAAAGTAGTGACAATCGGATGTATCAGATTCATCCTCATTCCCAGACTACAAGGGGTCTCAGTCTAGATCACTTTTCCATGCTCCACCTAAAGCCAAATGGTGTCTTGCCCAAACAGACCCTGCTATTGCTGTATTACTACAATCTGCTATTGCAGATTGTGTTATATGTGAAGAAAACTGTAAGCTATAAACCATGTTTAAAGTACCAGTTCAACTCAGTTGTAATCTTTGAAATTTCTTTTCTTCTTTTCCTTTTTTTCATCATGATGAAAGTATTAACCCTAGGAGTTCTGCTGCTGCCATCAGACCCCTTTTTTGAACTGGACATTCTTTAATATTTGTTCTCTATCCATATAGAATCTGGTTTTGGCTCCATCTCTGTCATTTCTATATCTGTGTTAATGTGACTAGGAAGAAGACTGGGAAACTATAGACACAGTCTACAGTCAATTTATTAACATTTAAACATGGGATGAAAATATTATCAAATAGCATAAAATATGCTGTAAATACATTTCTCTTAACACAGTGTGTTCAATAGGGGTGAGTAGAGACTCTGATTTGAAGGGCAAAATTGGAACAGAACCAAATGCATTAATCCCCAAGATCATGAGTCAGCTGTGGAGGGCAGTTACAGAGCTCAGAAAAAAAATGTGGCTGCTTTAAGGAATTCCCAACAAATGTGAGAAATGTATGTCCGCAGCCACTCTGAATCACATTTTGCCTTTTGTATCCAGCTCTCTATACAGTGATGTCCTTGGTGCTCTATGAGCTTGGTGGTTTTCTTGCAAATGTTTCATTACCAAACTAGGTAACATCATCAGTACTCTCAGATTTCTACGCAGCTATATACAAGAGGGCTCATGGTCGTGCTACACCCCAGCTTGCTTAACAGTGATTTGCACTGTGTCCCAGGGAAAACAGTTCTGATGAACACTGGGGCATTCTGTTCTTGTTGTTGCTATAAACTGGAATACATCATTTCACTATTCTGGATGAGATGGTAGGTTTCTAAAAGTAAATCTTCCAGAAGTGGAAGTGATTTGTGGCATTCTGAAAGAAAAATGGGATATTCCAAGATTCCCTGGGATTGTTTCTTTGGTAGATCAAGATTCCCTGGGATTGTTTCT